TAGGCAATGCGAAACGTGGCGGATACAAAGCCTAATAGCTCCAGGCATAGCGAGGAAGCCCTGCATTACTTTTTGCTCAAATAAAATTCAGAGATGTGCAGCAGTGGCTTGGAAATGCTGTAAAGCTATGCGAAAAGCGTAAAAATACGTGTTATTCGAGAAGACACGGGCAGCAGCATGAAACGGAGAAAAAATAACCTCATTTTAGTCGCCAGAAGTGAACCGACAATCGAAGCAGGACGAACTGCTAAGAAAAAGCAACTGGAACAAAGCACCAAAGAACAGTCTGCTGAACCTCTCTTAATGAGCCTACAACTGTGAGTCAGTGCTAACTCACGAACCGAGGAAATCGTCAGAACATCACACGGAGCTCTCAGTAGAAGACCGAACACATGAAGATGACAAAAAATCATCCTACTCGACGCCGGAGAACAGAATGCACGGCAAAAAGGTAAAATCCTGATGAAGTAGAATTGAATGCCTACTGATAAGAGTAATTGTGGAATCCCCACACTGACTGCCCGGAGGATCTTGATTCTCGATTGCAAGCCATGAATATCTGATCTACAAAAAAATTATCTGCCACCAACCTTGAGCTGTTTCTCACTCATCGAATCATAATTTGGCATCGGTGTGATATTCTTAGTTTTCAAAACTTTCACATTCGATCCCAGTTCTTTCAGCCTTTGTTCTATACGACTCGTTGTTGCTATTGGAATGGAAGTTCGTTGTTGTATTGTAGCTTCCACCCGTGCTTTCTTCTTAACTGGTGTTCGAAAACAGTCTTCCTGACTAGCCACTGCTCTATCCAGCAAGGACAATGTGGAAGGCGATGGAGAACCGCATGGATTTGATTTGAAACAAAATTCTGGACTACTTTTGCTTCGATTATGAAGTTTGCTGGATGGTAGATCTTCAAATTGATAATCTAACCGACAATAGTCGGGTGAATTTGCTAGCAAATCGTCGAATTGATCGCGAATCGGTGATTGCTTTGAGCAACATGGAACCGAAGAAATGTGCTCATTGGAGGAATGTGAAAACTG